CAGGTTTTCTTGTCAATGACACCTTCAAGGTTATTAGGTGAATGATTGAGGCAGAAGTTCATTCTGATAGGATGTGCAAGGTATTTTTGCAACTGACAGAGCTCGCTTACTCATTTCTGAAGTATGGATATGATAATCGTATCACTTGTGGAGACTGTTTGTGCTGCTCGTCTCCTCTGAGCTAGAGCAGCAAACCAGCGAGACACAAACAAGGAGGTCAGTTGAAGAGGCTGTCTGCCACTATTTCATTTCTTTGAGTTGAAGAAAGCATTTGAACAGAAAGATAACTAATCTCATCTTTTATCGATGATATTGCACGTAAAGCCAAGCTCTTCCTTGGGCATTGAATGTGTACCCAAAATCAGCAGCTTGACCTTGAAAAGGTGAAATCTGAAATCAAGAACTGCAGTAAAGCCATGAACATATGTGATGAAGCTTTAGTAGTAATAGATTTCAAGATGAGCTTGGTCCCATGTCCTTCAGGGAAAGATAATTGATAATTATGGGAAAAGAGGAATGAGTTAGCATGGTGCAATTATAGAATACTGTGAGATAATCCCTGCCAGAGAACAGCAAGGGGCAGTTGCACCTGTTACAATGTCACAGAAGATTTAATTCGATCACATTTCCAGCAAGGAAGATAGATTACAGCAGTTCTTGGAAGAAAAAGAAAAGAAACAAGAAGAACACAAAAGAAACAAAAAGCGAGATTACAGCAGTTGTTGGAGGGAAAAGAAACAAGAAGAGAGATTACAACATTTGTTGAAGGAAAAAGAAAAGAAACAAAAAGAGAGATTACAGCAGTGGCAAGATAACTTGCAACAGTGGCAGCTCAAACAGCAAAATAAACAACAGAGATTACAGCAGTTGTTGGAGGAAAAAGAAAAGAAACAAGAAGAACGAGAAAATAAACAAGAAGAGAGACTACAGCAGTGGATGGAGGACAAAGAAAATAAACAAGAAGAAAGTCTCCAACAATTGAGAGAAAGCCAGAGTACACAATTGGAATACATTAGTAAATTTCAAAGCGAATTAAATACATTAAAGAATGATTTACTGTATTTTACACATCGACTTAATCAGCCCCAGACAATGGCAAGCCCCTTCCAGACCCCACAGCAAAACCCTAATGCAGACATCTTCAGTCCTATTAGAAGTCACATCCCAAATATGAATGTCAGCAATAAGGGTGATCCAGTACGAAGGAAGCCACAGGAATTCGATGGGAAGGAACCGTGGGAAGCATATAGAGCAAAATTTGAGCTAATGGCAGAAATAAATGGATGGACAGCTGTGTACCT